TGTCCTCACAATTTACAGTTGTGTTTTTAAGTTTGTAGGGGTGACAGTGTCCTGGTATGGCCATTAGAAGGTCATATTTGAGAGCCAATTTCCCTGTCTGTGAATGGAGAGAATATTGCACAGTTTCATGTTGCATCCGGCTGCTTTGAGCAGGTATAATAAAGCATAGCTACCTCGCCCCAAACCCTGAATATCTAACTATATATGAGAAAATAAAACATGAAAAAAGATGATGATACATATTCAGTGCTTGTAGAGCACCACTGCATGCTTAAACCTGGAGAAAATCTTTTGTATGTTCAGTCATGTGAAGCCATATTTCATGACATTCCTTTGGCATAGAGGAGATGTATCTCAGTGTGGCATCGGTAGCCTGACAGCCAATAACAAGACAATAATGACTGTCAGTCCACCTAAGCCAACTTCCCTCATTCACAAGGACCTCATTGCATTTTAATCACATTCTGCATGTGGGTGGCACATTCAAGGAAAAAGCTCTGGACATCCCTATTCAGTACCATATGTTTGTAGACCTTCCCATAGTAGTGGGACCCTCGGCATATGCACATAGCTCTGGTGGGTTTCCACCTGCCAGAGGGGGCTCTCAGAGGACACATTATGCATGGCAGACAGCTGTCCTGCCCGCTGTATGCAGCATGAGTTCGTCCATGCAGAAAGACGTGCTGGACAGAAGAAAGAGCATGCAAAAATGGGCAGGTATGGAGATAGAGGGAAAGAAGTTTCAAGGGAATATTGAAGTATGAAAGTGTGTTAGTGTGTTGGCGGTAGGGAGAGCTCACATCTGCTGTGTAGCCTGAGACTACCCATCATGTGGTGTGTCAATGTTCAGTGGGTTGTTTATGTGGTTAGTCTTTGTGTGCCACTGTGCTGTATTTACTGCACTCTAAACATCTCTGAACTTCCATTAATTTCTGTACAATATAAAAATCAGGATCAATTAACAAAATCTAGCACAGTCTATTCACATTACATTATTCTTGCCTAAAAATGCACCTTAATTGCACATCGATTTAAAAAGTCTGCATTGCTTTATCACATAGAAATAATGTAACTGACTGATTAATGCAGACCAGATATTTACTGTAATGGATTGTACAACAAGAAATTTTTAAAAGCCTGATCATTGATTTTCATATATGGTAATGAAGTGAAACTAGTGGCTAAATAGTAGGAAAAAATATAAAATATATACAGCATACATTAACACAGTTCTCTGCAAAAGTAGTTAAAGGATCGATCTGGTGTTTCTTCACAAATCCCAATATAAGAGCACAGCAACAATGTGTTAGTACCCAGAACTAGTGGTTCCTGCAGAAGTCTTAAAAACAGGTCACACATTTACAGTTTCATATTTCAAAAACGCTCCATAATTACCTGAAGCAGTAGGCACTGTAGCTTTAAGTGAACTTCACTCAAACATGAGTAAATCGTGCATTCATTAGGGACTATTTTCAGCCCTGGATTAATACACTTTTGATGCTCAATTACCAGCAGCTGGACAGTGTATGTGGGAATGATTCAAATCAAACTACAGTGTGTGTGTTCATGGTAATGAAGGCACATGTCATCCAGTGCAACAGTGTGGTTCACTGATGCATCTTTTATAGATCTGGAAAACAATTAAGCTATATGGCACAGAAGAATAAGATATATCAGGAATGACAAAATATAAAATTACAGACCGGCACCAAATGTACTCTGGCTATACACCAATGACTTATTTGTAATATCAAGTTAGAGTTCATAACCTTTCAACCACTACCAGTAAACAAAGCGTTGACCACTTTCAGAGAGTGAGCAATCACCAAGCATAACTAACTTTAGTAAGACATTTTGATTCAATATACATGTATTTTAGGCCACTCATTTCCTTTTCAGGTCAATCAAATGTAAATTACACAAAATATAAAACAAAGCTGCAGTTGGCTGATTAATGACGGCGCTTCGTGGTCAATGTATGTAAATACAAAATGAAACTGCAATTGGCTGATTAATGACAGGGCTCTTTGGTCAATGGATATCCTATCCTCCTCCTTCAAGACAATCACTTTGGCTTCAGCGTGACGTGGAAGAAACAAATCTACGTTGCCAGATTATTTCCTGCTTCCAGCACATGAAAGGACCATTTGAGATGTAACAAAAGCAACATATCAGATCAAGAAAGAAAAACCAGTACTGGCAAAACACTTAGCTCTTTGCCTGCTGACTGATTGCTTTTCATTGTTGCCAGTTTGAATACTGATGCCCTGACCAGCAGCTTGGCTGAACGTGTATTTGTGTGTGTGTTTGTGTGTATGTGTGTGTGTGCTTAGTGCCAACTGCCTGGCTAGGATGTGCGGGGAAGCCTGCTGAATCTTGATCTGGCATCTGCTGTTTCATATTTTATTCTGAATGAGTGGATGGTTAAATGTACTTGGAGCTAAATATATTGTTGTGTGTTGATATACAGTCTGTTCAGACAGGTACAGGTAAAAGTTTTATAGTGATTTGGTTGGGTGTTCTCCATGCCAGATTCTCATTGGGCCAAAATATAGAAACACATATGTATTTTAAACATATTTCAAAGCTAGTGTAAATAGAAGACACATTACACACTGTGTTTAGTGCATCTGCTTAATGCAGGAAGATCCACACAACAACCAAATGACAAGTGATAGCTTCTGTTACAGCTGAGGGATGTAACTCACGGAAATGGACTTCTAATTGACATCTTGTATAGGCTCTGTATATTAGTGAGGAGACAAGTGTCTTGTGGGGGCTTTTCATGTGCCTGAAGAAGCCTGACATGTTGGAATTATTTCCCCGTTGGTCTTAAAAACCAAACCTTAATTTGATTACTTCAGCGCAAATTGGCAGATATGAAAAGAGTCAGCGAAGCAACTGTTCAAAGTATAGAGGACAATCGAAAACAGGCATGTCAGCCGAACTATTTGCAAATAAATCTGAAACTCCAGATTGCCACAGAGCTTGCCAAGCTTTCACCAGATAAAACCCCAAAAGGATACAAGTTCCAAACAATTACAACCGATTCCAGGCAAGTATCATTTTTTACCACAGCAGGCCAATGCATGAATCAGTGAAATCTTTTAGGGTGGCTCTCAGTTGGGGGAAAGTAATCCAAGCAGCTGTTGGCATGTAGCAGTTCCGGTAAGAGAAGAGAAGGAGCTATGAAAGGACACATCTGCTGCAATTAGTCAGAAAATATGAAGAAATTTGCAGGAAAACCAAGTTTTAACTCAGAAATTTAGCTTCATACGAGCCAGCTGGCACATCCAAGTCATGCCACACGTTTCTCTCTTATCTGTGGAGTGTGTGGCAACTCTGGAAAAAACACCAGGTCTTGCACAACACTACCTTTGCAACACTTTAAAAGAAGACTGACATTTTGGAAAATATACTTATTCGCTTTCTTGCCAAGAGTTTGACCAAAGCTTGTGCCTGTATGCTAAATATAAAGCTAAGCCAGGAGACGGTTAGCTTAGCTTAGCATAGCATAAAGACTGGAAGCAAGAGGAAACAGCTAGCATGACTACCTGGAACTCAATGATTTGGCAAAGAAACAGTCCAGTGCAACCTGTACAACCACAACTTAATGTTTTTAAACTTTGTAAAATATATGTCAAAAATTCTAGTGACTGTATATAAAATATCCTCTTTTCTCCTCCTGTAAAACAATAAAACACTTTCAATGACTCATCTTGAACCCAGCGGCATAAACATAAAATGATTTAATGAGAAAATGGGATTTGGTGCAGCTAAACTAATCACATAAAATTGCACTGCACCTTTAGATTGTGGGTTCAAGTAACTAGCAGAGCAATATCATTTGCAGCGATGTAAGTAATGAGTTACATTTACTAAAAAATCTTTAATTTCACTCTTACTTAAGTGTTTTTTCAACTCAACTTAAAGTAAGTATATTTACATTTTTCACTGGTAATTTACTAGATCTAAAGTCAAAATTGTTACAGAGTAACGACAAAAGTCACATGATGAAATCAGAGAGGACACACCAAATGATAAAGATGCTGCTGGTGGGTTTGCAGCATCGCGGTCTTTGGATGCTGGAGGCAATGGCCACTTTTTACTTCTACTTGAATAAAATTTTACAGAAGAGCCCTGATCGCAGGTGAGGGCCGTGTGTATGAATATCAGTCAGCAAAAATGTTGCTTATATTTCCCAGAGAGCTTGGTTGAAGTCTGACTTAGTGTTTTCTCCCCCGTCTTCTGCCTCCTGATCTGACAGTGCTGCTGTGAGAGGTGGAGGCTAACAGTCCGCTCTACAGCTCAAGATTTGATTTAAATGCTTCTTGTAACTATACCCTGCCCACTTATTCCATTTCATTCCGAAATATGTCACATTACAGAACATAAAGGCTTTAAACTAGTCCAGTCTTTATGTCATGCTGAACCAAGTTAATCCTAGTTCTAGCTTTATATTTAATACAGATATGAGATTGGTATTTATCTTCTCATCTAGCTAGCCAATTAGGATATTATTTGTACCTTGTTATACATATAATTCATCCAGGACATTGTTTCCCTTTAACAAACAATGATGAATAAAATGAGCTACACAAGACTTTAATTCAACATTGAAATGAAAATGAAAAATAAGGCTTAAATCAAAGCAGAGCTGTGGGCTCCTGACAGAGGTGTGATCACAAGAGTGATCACACCTAAGCAATGCAAAACTCACTTGGAAATCTATCAGTCCCCCATAGCGACAGATGTAAGGTGTTGATTATCATGTCAAAGGTGCCACTGAAACAGCTGGATCTTAAACACCACAGGCCCAACCAAACACTAAGAGTTTCCAACTGAAAATTCCCCTCTGAAAACATTTCAAACGCTACGAGCTCATTCACATTGTGTTTCTCAGTCAGCCGGCTACTAATTTCCAGTTTAACACAGACATCTGTTTGCCTACCAACTGGGTTGAAAAGTCTTAAAAGATTAGGGTGTACTGTGTGTTTTACCTCCAGAATGTGGTGGAGGGCCGCACAGCAGAACCACTCCTTGACCTTCACGGACGGATACAGAGCCTCTTCTGTGAGTCTTGAAGTTTTCCAAGTCTGAAAAATAAAAAGGGCAGTAAATAAAACAAGTCAGAGGCTGATACATCTGATCCTTGAACACATCAAAGTGCTGTCATGAACAAATTACTGTTTTTTTTTTTTTTTCATGTTTTTCTTTCTTCCTTGTTATTTTTTTGTGTGTCTTATTTCTATTCAAGGTCACAGCCTGTGGAGCTTAAGCAGCACGCAGCAAGTGGGAAACACTCACAACAGGTTACCAGTTTATTATAGAGCTCACACTCACACCTCTACACTCACACTGCACCAGAAAGTTCCTGGCTTATAGTTCTTTGGACTGTGGGCGGAAACTGAGGCTTAACCCTGACAAATACAGTGCTTGTAAACTCAGAGGGCCAAGGTTCAAACCCACATTGTGTGTGAGACAGCAGCGCAAACCACTGAACCACTGCACCGCCCTCACAAACAAATCATACACAAATACAGCATCATTACACGCTCTGTGTCTTTACTAGTTTCAGGAACGTTGTCAAGAGTGAAAAAAATGAACATCCTGCAGCAACAAACTTAAAATTTTTGTGTGGTAAACAGCCTTAGGCTTTACCTCAGGCCAAATCACCCCCTGTGTGCATCTGTGGATATTGTGGATATTGTGATGGTGCCACTAGTATCAAAAGGAAGTGAATTAAAGGGCCCCAGTGGGACTTTTGCTAGAAGAAGACAGCAGTAACTGGTTAACAAGTTTTGAAAGACTTGATGGAAAGACACCCTGTGATGTAAAGTGAATTAACACAGAAAAGATGCCAAAAAAAAAAGAAGAAAAATTCTGGGGCAGTGCCTAAGGAAACTGAAAGAAATATGCTGGTAAAGGTTAACAACACAAACACAACACCCAAAGACTCAGCAAACAAGATAGCCAAGGCATCCAAGATAACATCATATGTTGTATTTACATGCATTCATCTTTTTTTATTTTGATATTAGTAGTTAAAACTATGCAGATATTAAGTTGGTAGTGGAAGGCTGGATGCTTTATTATGATAAATAAATATTATATAATATAAAATAAATATGAATGTATCCGCACACGCCTCAGGGATCTCTCAGCACTCTTTCAGACTGGGAGTTTTAAGTTTTAATATGAGGTTTGTTTAAGGCTGAATGACCAGAAGAGCTTACAGTCTGTATGTACCACTGTCGCTTCATCTTTTAACGTTGACTCTATACTGTATGTAAAGCTTTTTTTTGTTTTGATTGTGTAAAAAAAAATAACCATTCATTGTAGTTTAATTCTTTTTGAGCATTTGCATTCTTTCCCAGTTCTGCATCTTCTGGGTGAAGATCAGTTTAAACTGACCTGCTTTTCAAACATAAAGGAATCTTTGAGTGAAAAACTATAAAAACTGCAGAGATTATGGCAAAAATCATAATCACAATTATTTTGATCAATATTGAGATCACGATTATTCACCACAATTTCTCATTGACTTTGGAAAAAAAAACAGAAAAAAAAGGATTTCAAAATAAAAAGTGCTGTGTCTATGTAGTTATTCCCGTTATACACAATATAAGTTAAAGATATCTGAGCACTAAGAGCGCTGCCCCACCCCTCACACACAAGGTCAGTGAGAAAGATGCAGATGAACTTCTGCGAAGGGAAAAGCAAAAATGCATCATAGATGAATGTCTTCATCAGAAATGGAGTTGGTGACTGTGAAAGAGAACTTTTATGTTGCAACAACAAATACAAAATCTATTTTCCTAAATCCTTCAGTACCGAGGGCAGAACCGATAACGTCGGATGGTTTTTGTAGGGAGGCTGAAATTTGTTGTGAAACTGAAGGCCGCACAATAATCGTTTTCTCTCGATTATCTCGTGTTTATAATCGTTGGAGGCCAAAATCGTAATCGAAAATAAAATTTGATTAATTGCACAGCCCTAGGATGAGCTATGCTTATGACATACCTGCTGTGTGTTTAAAATAAATTAAATAACTTAACAATATAGCTACATAATAAACACATAAAAAGATTCATTAAAATTTTTGGATTTAAATTCCATCACGTCAATTAATATTATAATTAGATAAACATGTTAAACTTGTTAATTTAACAACAATTAATTCCACAGTCAAACATCAGCAGCTGCACACACCACTTGAATCGGGTTTGTGGTAACAGATGGGTTGAATTTGTATGTATGTGTGTGGATTATGTGTCTAGCTTATGTTTCATACACAATCTGGCAACTTGGGTAATGTCAGACAAACATAAAATGTATGGATGCATGTATGATGATTATTTATAACAAAGGTTTAGGGCCGTGCAAGGCTTTATAGATGGGCGTAAAGACAACTTGTTGGGAACATCTCTAGGAAATCTTGACACTATATTTGTGTTTCTTAAATGTCCACAGGAGATCGAATGAAATTCACTTCCTGTTGACTTTTAGACGTTAGTCAAGTTTTCATCCAAATGTGGTGCAATATCTAACCAAACTTCCAGAAAATCAGTAAAAGAAAATACTAATTGATGTGTGTTTCCATTCATTACTCTTATGTAAATATTAGGAGTTGGCTCATTGAGATAAACAGCTGATGATGCTAATTCTTCACTCAGGTGCTATTAAACCACTGCAGGAGAAAAGGATGCAATGAGACTAAAAGTGTCTGTCAAACTTTAAACAGCGAAAAACAACATGAAATTATGAAATGTATTCTTACATCAATGTGAGGAGTGTTAAAGTCTCATCACTTCACCTGTTTTTCATATCTTCAGTGGACGTTTAAGTGATGTTTAAATCACTGTATGTCATAATTAATTCACCAATTAATTCACCAAGTCTAATTAATTCACCACTGCAATTTACCACATTTTATTTTTATCTCTACACCAACTTTTCTACCTCAGCAGAGCAGAAAAACCTTTTGTTGATATGTCCAATTTTCTTTCAAATTTCCAATGTTTCCACTCAGAAGTTTTAATGTGCAAATTGAAAAAGGGCATAAAAGCAGGTGGATAGAATCATGTACTGGCTGCATCAGGATCGCCTGCTCTGTGTTAAACACTGTCACATAATTTGTTTTATTGGTTTTTAGAGCAGAACCTTCATCAGTTAGTGTGTGATGTTTCTGTTGAAGCTCCACGGTTCATGTGTGAACCTGTGTCCAACCCAAACTGCACAATGACAGGACAGACAGCTGAGTGAGGAGAGGGGGGGTCAGTGTTACTGCAGCGTTACCAGCTGGTGGTTCAGAAGGAGCTGGTCCTGGATCTGTTCCTGATACTCCAACACGTTTTCCTTCCTCCCTTTTGTTATTTGTGCTTTGTTTGTGTTCTTTAATTTTTTTTTTCCTGCTTTTAAAAGTGATATTCAGCGAAGCATGTTGCATGTAGCAGAGGACATCCACTATAAACCTGCTAAATAATTGCATACTCGAATCAGGGCTATTACTGTACCCTGTGTCCTGCAGTAGGAAAAAAAGAGTTGAAATCAATAGTGACACACACCCACTAATATGAGCCGAAGAGCAATCTGTAGCTCCGCTGCTAAGCAGAGAGGGTTTCTGCGGCGGGTCACACATGAGGGATTTTAATAGCTCCAGTGGTAATCAGGTTACCTTTCATTCATCACGCCCACCACCACTGAAGATTACAAAGCTATTCGTGGCATGGTTTTGACACCAAAAGTACTGTTAAACTGAACTAATTTCTGTATGACAGTTGATGGAAACAATAGCAGGTCATAACCACTTCCAATGATTCACTGCACTAATGGTGTATATCCTGGTGGAGCTCTGGAAATGTAATTCATACATCACATGGAGGCTCCATGTCTGCTCTGATAACTGGGTTGGAGGGTGGAGGGGATACATGTCTTCCTGTTGGGAATACTTACATCTGAAAACAGCTGATAAACAATTTTTCAAACTGATGTACAGATATTTTAAAGAAATAGCAGGAAAATTTGAATCAGCTGCTACAAATTGCAGCTACATAGCAATATTTTTTAAATTAAATAGCTTCAAATCATACAAAATCAATTCCTTATACTTGTCTCGTTCCATTTCCAGAAATACTTTTTTATGTTTGATTATTCTGCTTATTTTATTTTTCCTGGGTTTGTATTTAGTTTGTATATTTATGATGCCTCCATGCTTCTGAGGTCAAAGTGCAATTATAAATGTGTATCAAACAAAATAACAGGCAATAGTGAATTAATGTGATGACAGGTGATATAAGGTCTTAAATTTATCCATACATAGTCTCCAAATTGGATTAATTAACCTTAATTAACCTTGCTCTGTAATTTGCAGCATATTCTCGAGTCGGTGCGAGCAGTGGCGCGGACATGAGTGCTCTCTTTGCAGACCTGCTCGTTGCAAAACTGCAACCAATCCACTTTCGAATGAGATTACTGATTAGTTCAGCTCCAAGTGATCTAAATGTAAAATTATTGGGCTCACTGATTTATGAAGAGGACTATAAGGTCAGTTAATATATGTCATATTGGCTGCAGGACAAGTCAATTAAGAAGCAGCCTTTAATTACCTCTAAATCTCTTTTTTGACCCACAAGCACAGTTCAGCTAATAGCTATTTAAGACTCTTAAGCCCAATTAAGAAAGCAATTCCTGATATTTTTCCAAAGATGAGTGCCAGATTTGGGTCAGTTGGATGAGACTACCTCAAGGATATAAAAAAATCTGCTAGAAGAGAGATTTATATATGCCACTTTGAATTGAATTTTAATTTTCAACCCTGTTTCCATTCATTGGTCATACAGTTGGACTACCTATAATGATACATATACTTTGCAGTCTTCTTGGTATCACTAGATATATTGTGAGGTTAGTAGATACCAAATAAAAAAACTGCAGCAAGACTTTTGTGTTCCTCTCTGTGCCACCTGGGCGTCTCAGCCTGGCACACAAGCAGAGGAAAAGCACCATGGACACCCCAAATGCCTTCCTGGTGTACACACGCTATGGATTACTTCACATTTAAAAGCAAGTTGTCAAAACACACTTGTATGAGTCC